GTTTCTGCTCCTAACCCCCCTCCTGCTACTCTCTCTCTCTCTCTCTGTCTCTCTCTCTCTCTCTCTCTCTCTCTCGCGCGCTCCATCATTATCCTTCCCCCTTGCCCCCTCTTTCCATCCGTCCTCTCTTCCCCTGCCTGAAGGGCTGCCCGAAATAACGTTGCAGGTAAGGAAGATATACCCCAAGGCGGTACGATCGAAAACGAAGAGGGTGGGCATCGAGGGCTTGGGATACACGCATTGAATGGCGCGCGTGCGAATAAGAACGAGCAGCCTTAACATGCTTGTTGTTGTGGTTGTGGTTGTGGTTGTGGTTGTGGTTGTGGTTGTGGTTGTGGTTGTGGTTGTGGTTGTGGTTGTGGTTGTGGTTGTTGTTGCTGTTGTTGTTGAACTCTCATTTCTGATAAATAATTATTGTTGATACCCCACCACCAGTGCATAATGTTTTTTCTCAATCACAGTGTACCCCTCGACGCTCGCACCCTGTTTTTTTGAACAAGGAAAACCTTGATGCTCAAACTGAGCCCCTGGCCCCCGGGTTACAACAACAACGGCTCCCGCCTGAGACGTCCTCACAATTTAGCCAGGACCCCCGCTCCCGCCCGAGACTTCCTCGCATTCTACTCAGGAATCGCGCTCTCGCTTGGGACTTCCTTACAATTAATTCAGGAATCGCTCTCCTGGCGCTCTGGAGTCGCGCTCTCGCTGGAGACTTGCTTGCAATTTACTAGAGAATAGCGCCCTTGCGATGGAATTTCCTGCAATTTGCTCAAGCGCCGCGCTCCCGACACCCAGGAAACGAGGAGTCGCGCCCGTTGTGACCCCATGTGCATGCCCTTCGTGGCCCCGCTGTCGCCGTTTGTGGCCCCCTCACTGTCCTACGTGGCCCAGTTGCTACCCTCAGTGGCCCCATCGTTGCCTTCTGTGGCCCCGCATTATCTGCCCTTCGTGGCCCCCGCTCGTTCGCGCTCTTCGTGGCCCCATACGCATTCCCTTCGTGTCCCCGCTGTCGCCCTTCGTGGCCTACTTCGTGCCCTTCGTGGCCCTGCTGTCGTTCTCTCTCGCTCTCGCTTTCGCTCGTCGTCGCAGTCGTCGTCGTCGTCGCCGTCGTCGTCGACGTCGTCGTCGTCGTGGTCGGTCCCCTGTCCGTCCCTCTTGGGGTCGGGTCGACGGTCCGCGGCCGCCCCGCCGATCAGCGCTGCCGCTGGCCAGGCCGACGGTCCGCGGCCACCCCGCCGCTTGCTGGGGCCCGGCCTGCAGGGAAGAAATGTATACCCCCCAAAAGGGGCTCGATCGAAGACGACGAGGGCGGGTATCGAGGGTTTGGGAAATACGCGTTATTGGACACTCGAGCAGATAAGGGCGAACAGTCTTAAAATGATTGATGTTGTTGTGATTGTTGTGATTGCTGTTGGTGGTGTTGTCGGTGTTGTTGTTATTGTTATTGTTGTTGTTGATGTGGTTGATGTTGTTGATGTTGTTGTTGGTGTTGGTGGTGTTGTTGCTGCTGCTGCTGTTGTTGTTGGTGGTGTAGTTGCTCTTGTGATTGTTGTTGTTGGTGTTGTTGGTGGTGCTGTTGTTGCTGCTGCTGCTGTTGTTGTCGCGCGCAGGATGCCTGGAGCTCCGACGGTTTTATTTCGGCACGGCACCGGCCGATGCAGCCCCTAGGCCCCCACCTCCCAACGCGCCCCCTCCGCATCCACTTCCTAAAGTAGCCATACCGAAGCAGCCCCTCGGCCCTCCGCATCCCCCCCCGCCAGCCAGCGCAGCCAGCCCGCCAGACAGCGCGCTCCCTCCGCCCCGACCGCTTGATTTCGGCACGGCACTGGCCCCACCAGCCAGCGCGCCCCCTCCGCCCCGACCGCTTTGTTTCGGCGCGGCACCGGTCCCACCAGCCAGCGCCCCTCCCCCACCAGCCAGCGCAGCCAGCCCACCAGCCAGCGCGCCCCCTCCGCCCCGACATCTTTATTTCGGCACGGCATCGCCCGCCCCCGCACCCCCCGCGCAGCCAGCCCCTCCGCCTCGACCCCAGCGCGCCCCCTCCGCCCCGATCGCTGTATTTCGGCGCGGCACCGGTCCCACCAGCCAGCGCGCCCCCTCCGCCCCGACCGCTTTACTTCGGCACGGCGCCGCCCCCTCCCCCCCACCAGCCAGCGCGCCCCTCCGCCCCGACTTCTTTATTTCGGCGCGACCCCGCCCCCCCCCCCGCGCCCCCCGCGTAGCCAGCCCTAGCGCGATTCCCAAGTAAATCGTGAGATAAGCCAAAGCGAGAGTATGATTCCTGTGTGTCGAGGGCGCGGCGTCTGAATAAATTGTGAAGAAGTCCCACGCGAGAGCGCGTTTCTTTTATAAATTGTGAAGACGTCCCACGCGAGAGCGCGATATTTGAGAATACATTGTGAGGAAGTTCCAGGCGGCGGGAGCCGTTGTTGTTGTAACTTGGGGGCCAAGGGCCCAATTCTGAGACCCAAGACTTTCCCTAACAAAGACAGGGTGCGAGCCCCAGGAAGGGCACTTCAATTTAACAAATACAGTGTACCCCGGAGAGGGATCATCAATATATATTCTTCCATTACAAATGAGAAAACCCAATCAGTGGATGATTTGAAAATTAGTCATATGGATCTTGAGATCGATTGTGAGATCGATAATGAGATCGATAGTGGAATCGATAGTTGACGATTGTAAGGTCGATCGTGAGACCGAGAGTGAAATCGATTCAATGAGATCGATAGGGAGATCGATCGCGAGATCGCTCGTGCTATCTCCAATGAGATCGCTTGCGAGATCGATTATGAGATCGATTGTGAGATCGATGGTGAGATCGATAGAGAAGTGGGAAATGAGATCGATGCTGAGACCCATCAATAAGAAGATCGACCAAAACCCGGGAACCTGGGAACCTCGCCGCCCACCGAAATCGGCCTGGGAACCGGGAACCCAGGAACCCGGAACTGGGAACCCGGGAACCTGGCCTGCCACCAAAATCGGCGTGAAACATTCGCCTTCTCCTTCAATATCCGCTAGGACCCCTTCAGCGCAAGCACTGATTGGGGAATAACGAGAACTCAACAAGGCGAGAACGTGTTCCTTGTACCCTGCCCCCAGGGCACAGGCACCCCGGATTCTCCTGGCCTGGCGAGAACGGGACCCTGGTACCCCGCCCCCGGTCGCGGGAGGGGGGGGCGCAAACGCAACAGCGGAACTT